GTCTCGACTTGAATAAAAATAGACGATGCTTCGTACGCTTGTTTTGATTGTGAAATTTGCTTTCATACAAAATGCCTTGAACTACCCTTAACAATTAATCACCCTTTCCATCGTACACATCGGCTTTCACTTGGTTTCAATGAAGGCTCCCGTGAATGCAGCCTGTGCCGATTCTATTTTTGGTCGGAACCTTATTATTGTTGTGTCCCCTGCAAGTTCTACATCCACTTTACATGTGCTCGACCACCGCTCGTTATTGAAGACAAATCTCATCATGATCACCCTTTTACTTTGCTGTTAAAACCAAATGACCTGTTGCACTGTAATGCATGTGGAAACGAGGGAAATCATGTTTCCTATATTTGTTTTGCATGCAACATTCAAGTTCACAAGGACTGCATTTCGTTGCCACACAACATTCGACTCGATCTTCATCCCCATCCCGTTTCCCACTACTATTGCATCTACACTGACCAGCATGATTCTTGAGATTGGGATTGCAAAATCTGTTTTAAAGAGGTAAGCATTGATCAGGGAAGTTGAATGATATTTTCAAATGCGATAAATGTCGCTATACGTGTAGCGGTTTCTCGTACAGGACGGATGACTCGTGTTTGTCCCTTAGATGCGCTTCGGTATCTCACAATTTTCCATATCGAGCAGACGAGCCACATTTCATCTTCTACGACGACAACTATGAAGGAAATTGCAGTGCTTGCAGTAAAGATACAAGTCATATGCGTGTGTACAGATGCAAGGATTGCACATTTGCTTTGCATACGCAGTAAAGATACAAGTCATATGCGTGTGTACAGATGCAAGGATTGCACATTTGCTTTGCATACGAGATGTGTTACGTTACCACGTATTGCTTGGCATAAGTGTGATGAACATTGTTTAGTACTTGCTTATCAAGATCCCGACGATTATCCGCTACGACACTATTGTGACATCTGCGAAGAAGAAAGAGGTCCACAACAATGGTTTTATCGTTGTGAAACTTGTGACAAAGCTATGCATACTGAATGTGTTCGGATAATATCCGTTTATCAATGCCGGAAGCAAATACAGATTCAAAAATCCTATATATCCTTGCACTTACACATTTATAAGGGATACCTATTACTACCATGAATGCCATATCTAGCCGTTAGAGTATCTAGAGGGAGGATGCAAATATTTTGTTCACTGGGATTGCATACTCTTACAAATAATTGATGTATGAAGTCGTGTTTCAGGTCCGAATCGAACTTGAGCAAATATGCATGAAATTGATGTCACACATAAGTTACTATGTTCCCCTAATTACAGACATCGAGTATTAATATATTTAAACCTTCAAAAGCCTTAAAAGTGTACTTCAATTCAGGTGAATTCCTAGTGGTCACCTTGCCCTAGACATGGAGATAGAAGAACCAAGACTACACTATACATGTGTTTTCTTAATCAGCAGTTCTGCTAAAATGCTCCATTTTAGAGAGTTTAAAACTTCATTACCGGAACCCGTATGTCAAAAAGTGAAAGAGGGCAAGGAGGATCATTTCATGTGAGCTCATCAGCCATGAGCAGAGACGTCAGCATGCCTCCGTGCCTGTAAAATCAATTGCCAATTCTTCAGCACAAATGCATTCATGGATCAACCTACCCTATATGTAGCATGAAGTAAGTCGATGCACAAGGTGTACTCTAGGCACTCATATCGACCGTGTATATGCACAAGTTTTTCTATGCCTCTGTGTGTATATGTTCAATATGCACTGGTTTCCTTAAAGGTCCGTGTGAGCTTCCGCCAGGCGAGCATTTTTATGCCTATCGCCTTGACAAAAAGCACACCTAGGCTAATGAGAGGAATGGGATTAAAACCCCCCGCTAATAACTGTGATAGACACAGCAGTACATAACTGCGTAGCAAAATTCATATTCAAACCGGTTGACGTCATTTTAGGCTAACGAGAGAGGTATGGTATACATCCCCATTGAGCACTATTAATACTCTTAAAAGATTGAAGTGATCTTTTCTCAATCCCCAATCAGTTTTTCACACACAATGATAGCAATCTTAATTTAAATCTTAGCAAATAGTTTAGAACAATGTCTAAGCAATTACATAGTTTTGTTTTCATTTTAATCGGATAAAGCCGTATTAAGGAAGCAAGCACTCTGTACTATTAAAGATAATGACCACCTCTAATCTACAACCCCAACCTGCATATTCACAAATAAAAGCCCTGGAGCGGATAGGATCCCAGGACCTTAGACCCCAACCTTTATCTTTAGTTTTAAACACCTCTAAGCGAACTTTCAGACCACTCTTACATACCCTATTCCTGCAATTAGGAGGGCACATGCAGGAAGAACCGCACTCATGTATCAAGGCTTTTTGGCTGACAAGAACACCGTTGGTCGTATATGGGAGATAGCCACCATTTCGTTGAATGCAAGGGCAGTTGGACTTGCTAGCTATACACCCACCATGGCAATCACAGCCAGTTGAAGATTCGTTTGAATTTACAGGCTCTGAGTATCTTAGACCGGGATAATACGTGAAATTTGCCGGGGCCTTTTCATCATCGACATCATTTACAAGAGAAACAGGTATGCTTTCAGCCCCAAAAGCGAGATCTTGCAATATAAGGCCAACTCTAGCAGCACTGCCATCCTTCCATTGCTGAACAGATTTCCACACGGTATATGTTTCAGGCTGCCCGGATAACCTAAGTTGTACTTAAAAACATTGTAACCAGACTTCCCTTTGTCCACCATGACTCCTGGATTTTATACATATATCTTTCCTGTTGGATTTGATATATCTTTTACACCACGAATCACTCGAATCTCGTTACCTCGATGCAAGCTCTTCTCCAAAGCAACATTTCCCCTTTCAAGCTTCTGATCAGTTATTTCCATGCCTCTATTATTAACGTTTCCATCTTGGCCACTGTAAAACAACACGTCGCCATCCTCGGAATTATCTTCGTACCCTCCGGACGAGACAATGCTGACTGCTACAGGCTCTTCACCTCGAGAGACCTTGAGCCCCATGTAATCAATGCCAGCCATAATTGGAGCATGAAATCCAATCAAACACATCTCCATCCTCCCAATTTCATACAAGCGATTTGGAGAAATTTCAAACAGATTAAGCTACTCGAAATTGAATAAAGGCAACGCTAATAGATTAAAAATGAGAACTTTACCTCCAATTCGAAGCAAGAGGCATTGATCAGTGGCGAGTTCCAATTTGGAACCTAAACCAAAGATTTAAGTGAAACCCATTAAATTCAAAACACCAACGACCAGCTTTGACTCATTAGATTAAAGACTGTTTCAGAAATTTGCAGTAAAATCCCTGAAGATATGAACAAACAAAGTGCGAACAAAAGCAAAGCACTCATCTTTCTCTGTTTTGGTAATAAAAAATTGTTTTTCTCTTAATGCGTTTCATAATTTAAAGAGTAAACTACGATTTTAGTACCTAAGATATCAGTTTTGATCCATTTTAGTATATAATTTTTTCATTATTTTCAAAATCATGCATAAAGTTTAGTTTTTGTTTCATTTTAACACTCAACATTAAAAATTTTAGTTTTTGTTTCATTTTAGTACCCGTTCAAAATTCATTTGAAAAAATTAAAAGTCTATGTACTAAAATATATCAAAACTGATTGTCTAAGTACTAAATGCGTTAAGTTTTTAACGACGTGTACTAAAATGAAATGAAAACTAAATTTTAGATATGATTTTAAAAAAATTAAAAATTTAGGTATTAAAACGGATCAAAAGTTAAAATTTATGTACTAAATGTGTAGTTTATCTAATTAAAAATTGGGTTAACTAAGCTACTATCACTTAACTTTATGTAGTGTATCGGTTATATTACTAAACTTTCGATTGTTTAAATTATAACATTAAACTTTGATTTGAACTTTAATTTTGATTTTAAATATATCACGGGTTTAAATTTTAACGGTACGATGATGTGGACGGATCTTTTCATCATTGTGATGATGTTGACAAAATGATATCGTTTTGATGCGGTTATTGATACCTAAAACGACATAATTTTAAGCACCAATCTTTAAGGATGTATCTATTTCACCACCAAACTTCAAAAGAAATCTAGTTTTAGACACTGAACTTTCTCATTTGTTACGAACAACTAATCATCTCTTGTCATTGATCGTCATTCGTGACAATATTGAATATCAAAATATTCAATGAAACCCTCCATCCCTCCCATGAACATACTTTGATTTCTATTAATCCATTTAGTGGTATTTATCGGTGCGACGGTTGCCGCGGCTCGTACGATGTTTCGTACGCTTGTTTCGATTGTACGACATTCTTCCATAAAAAATGTCTTGAACTATCCTCTACAACCGATCACCCTTGCCACCATACGCACCAGCTTTCGGTTGTTTTTGATGATTCCGATGAAGAGTTACTTGAATACAACCTGTGTCGACGTATTATTCGATTCGAATTTTATTATCGTTGTGTCCGTTGCAAGTTTTATATGCACCTCAGATGTGCTTGGCCACCACCCATTATTGAGGATAAAGCTCATCACGATCACCCTTTCACTTTGTCGTTAAGACCAAATAATCCCTCCTTTTGTGATGCATGTGGCAACAGGGGAGATAATGTTTCCTAAACTTTAATTAATTAATTACTTTAACTAGAAATATTACCTAATCCGTCCAAATATATAATATTCAATCCATATAATATATTTTTATTCAGTTAAACCCAAATATTTTACAAACATTGAAATTGAATATTACACGATCAATTTAAATCAAATTGAACAACACGACACACAACATTGACATATGATTACAGACACTTGAAACCAATCAGAATAAATAAATCTAAAATATGATTGTCAAGTAAATACTTGAATCAAATACGATACAATAAAGCCAAATCAAATTAAGTAACACAACAAACAACTCCGACATAGGATAACGATCACTTAAAACCAATCCTTTTCAAGCACTTTAAGTGTATATGTGGCCGAGAATTCCTTCATAACCCCATGGGCAGCGTTCTCCAGCTCGAGCTACAATCATGAAGACAGAGCAAAAGTAAAGTTGATGTTAAAACAATATTCAAGATAATAATAATAATAATAGCAACGACGATGTCCGTCATTGAAAAAACAAGAGGAGCTCATAACATACCAACAATCGAAGTGAATGATATAATCACATTCGGTACACTTGACAACTTCATCTTGGCAAGGCTTACCACATCGCGAGCAATAAGGATAACCGTCCACAACCTTACGTACATAATTGAAATCTTTGTGATGGTGGAAGTGATAATTCCGGTTAAAAGCGGCACCGTCTTTGAGAAACGGATATCCTCCGAGAGCACATCTGGAATGAACAGAATTATCGCAAGTTGAACAAGAATAATACAAACGGTATGCATCTCTCTTCTTTTCACAAACATCACAACGAAACTGTTCTGGATCATCTTCCCCATCTTCATTACTCAATTTCAGTAAGTGGCGATCACATTTGTGTCCAACTTCAAGCGGTAATGTGATGCATGCAAAGTCCAAACTAAAACTGCACTCCTTACATCTGAATGCACCAAAATACCTATGATTGTGACCACAACCGTTGCATTTCCCTTTGCATTTTCGATCAAAAAAGAGCACGTGTTGGTGCCCTTCATTCTTGATGGTATAAGGAACTGCGGCACACCTTAGGCAAAACATATGGCCTCTGATATTACTATAAAACAAACCACTGCACCAGCGATAACACAATCTACACACTTCCCAATCCCCGGCTTCAAGGGTGATGGCGTGTAGTTGAAACCAGTGATGTTTGGTTTTGGGTAGCTCAGCACAGGTTTTGTGAAGGAAGAAATCGCACCTGGAACAGTAATAAAACGGGGTCGAGATAGGCAACATGCATCCGTCGCAAGCTCTATCCTCGTCCCCTTTGATCTTGTCTCCTAACACCAAATCGTGCTCATGGTTGAAATGACGTACCTCGGTAGCTTCGCCAAGCTCATTCACCTTGATAACACGGATGCTGGAAGAAGAATCCGTAGCATCATCCCTATCTCCATTTTCTTGATCAATTATGGTGTACAAGGAATCATCCTCCAACACACATTTCACGTGAACCACAAAATTGCAACCTTCCTTCGAACAGCCGTAACATCCATACTCCTTTTTCACGCGCTCGAAACAAATTTGGCAATCTCCATCTTCTCCTTTTTCAAGGAAATACTTGTGGACAAGAACATCATCATGTCGAGCGGCTTTGATCTTCCGCGGCAACGAAGTGCAACTTTTATGGACTTGAAGGTGGCATGTATGACATACATAGGAAACAAACCTACCAATGGTGCCACATGCATCACAAACGAAGGGATCATTTCTAAAAAGCAGGGAGAATTGGTGTTCATGATTCCTGTTAGCTTCAATAATAGGTCTGGATCGAATGCATTCAAGGTGAATATCAAACTTGCAAGCCAAACAACGATACAAAAGATTATCACTATCATTCTTTTGGCAGACTTCACAAAAGAAATTGTTTTCCCTAAAGTGAAGGAAGAGAGTGTGCAAACGGTGGCAAGGGTGAGCAGTTTCTGTGGGTAAGTTATGAAAACATTTTGAATGAAGTTTAATCTTACAACCAACAGAAACATAAATGGGACCCATTAAGGATTCTAGACACCATGAGCAACAGGCTGTTTTGAGTTCATCTTTATGGTTTTGGAGGAAGATGAAGGGAAGCTGGTGGCCATCACCTTTGAACTCATACTTTGACTTGTTTTCTCTACCAATCAAATTCCAAGAAGACACAGAACATTTGGTGCAGAGATAAAACTTGTCAACACAATCGTAACAAGAATAAAAACGAAACTTACATGTTTCCTTGCACATCGCACAAGCTCTCCCTCCATACAGCCACTCTGGTAGTGGGTAAAGAAAAAGACCATAGTGTTGGGGATGCAAAGGGTGTGGCGTAATGGAACTGGGTATTTGGGCACATTCCGGATGGAGGTGAAAGTTGCAGTGTACACAACTAAAGGTTGAGGCTGATATGATCACTTCCCGGCACACCGAGCAAAGAGCTTTCTCATTCTCATCGCCTTGCGCTTCAACCAACACCAAGGGATGACCATGCAAACAATAATATATAGTCTGCTCTCCATTGTCCATCCACATTTTCGAGCAGTGAATGTGATTTAGACGATGAATGAATGAGGGAACAAAAGAAAGCAAGAAAGAAAGAAAGAGTTCTGGCTTTGTTGATGAATTGAATCTTCATCATCGTTGCCAAATATAAAGACTCGTTTATGCTTTTCTTTTCCTGCTTATGCACTTCATTCTTTTCCCGATTAAATCAGGCAAGTATAACCTTGGAATAAATGCTTTAGAATGTAAATTTTTGGAATACAAGCAAAGAATTTTACTTTAATGGCCATCCGTTTTCTTTTGTCTAAAGCACTTAGGCCGTGAAATCATTAAATGCAAATTTAATATTTAATATATTATTATAAAATAGTATATGGTGATGTAAATTGACACGTGATTAAAAATAATCAAACAACAATGAATAGAGATGTGCATTGATTAATAGGCTATCACATCAATTTTGTGAAAAAACAAATTATTAATTTATTTAATATTTACGTTAGATGTACATCAATTTAACAAAAAGAAGAAGAAATATTTACTTTGAGAGTTAAATTTAGGGTAAATTACATAAACAGATATTAAAATATTAATATTTTTTACAGTACTAAAATTCAAAAAATAATAAATGATCATTAATGTTATTTTTTTTTTGTAACAAAGTCAATCATTCCGCCGCTAATAACTGTTATTCTAATATTAGCTGACCCTTATTCCCATATGTAATGGGGTAAAAGGGAGGTACGATAGTAGGTTGTCCCCAACGTCAGGTTGAGAGCAGCTTCCGTGGGAAACCTCCGAATTATGAATTGCCCATCGTAGAATTCGATCCCACGACCACAAAGTTAAGAGTCTTGCGCTCTACCAATTGAGCTGGACGGGCAATCTTTGACTTGTTTAATAAAAAAAGAATCATAGAGAAGAAATGAAAGGTACGACGGAATATGAGTTGTTTCCTGAATTTAAAAGGAATTCGTTTGCTTGCGGAGGAAATTGAATTGAATAAACACTTACTTGTACATTTCTTTTTCTGCTATGCACTTCATTCTTTTACTGAGTAATTAGGCAAAGTATAACCATAGATGCTTTAGAATGTAAATTCTTTGGAAAGAATTTTTACGTTAATGGTCTTTCTTTTTCTTTTCTCTAAAGCATTTAGACCGTGAAATCATTAAATCTAAACTTAAGTTTTGATTTTCTTTTGTAAAAATGACAATTCGTTGACAATTTAAATGTATTTCTCGTATTAATAGGATTGATTCAAGCGGTAAGCAGCTTGATATCGCTTAAGTAAGGTCTTAGGTTTGAGTCTTTGTGTATGGAGAAAATCTCCGCTGAGAGACTCACCTATCAAAGCAAGGTATGCGACCCAGATCGATTCAGATTAATTAGGGTGAAGCCTTGGAACTGTGAAGGGCAACAAAAAAAATGTATTTCTCCATTACTGTGACATAATACTATACATCATCAAATAATTTAAACTATAAAAATATATTATTATAAAATAGTATAAGGTGATGTAAACTCACACACTCCTAAAAAGGGTAATTACACCATTCTTTATTGAATTTTACTCTCTCTCCTATTTCAATCATTGTACTCTCAATATTTTTAATTTACTCACTAAACTTTTGAATTGCTCCTGTTTTGGTCACTACAAATTATTTTATTATTATTATTCAATGACATGTCATATTAAATATAAAAATAATTTAAAACAAATAATATATTATTATTATTATTATTATTATTAAATTTAAAATGATTTAAAATAATCATCGTCCCTTCTTGTTACCGTCGATCACCATTTAGGTTTAATTTTATATTTAAATTATTTGTATATTAAATAATAATAATAATAATAATAATAATAATAATAAATGGCATGTATCAAGATAATAATAAAATAATTCAGAGTGACCAAAATATGAACAATTCGAAATTCAGTGAGTAAATTGAAAAAATTGAAAGTGCAATGAATAAAATAGGAGAAAGAATAAAGTTCAGTGATGAATGATTTAGTTTATCCTAATAAAAATAATCAAGCAACAACGAAGTAAATATGCATTGACTTTAGGCTATCACACCAATATTGAAGATAATTCTAGCCATGATCACCCTTTCACTTTGTTATTAAAACCAAATAACCCCTTCTTTTGTAATGCATGTGGCGAGCAGGGAGATAATGTTTCCTACATTTGTTCTACCTGCAACATTCAAGTCCATAGAGGTTGCACTTCGTTGCCACGTCACATTACAATTAGTCTCCCATCCCCATCCCCTTTCTCACTGCTTTTTCCTTTGTATTGATCACAATGATTCTAGAGTTTGGGACTGATTTCTAACGCTACCAGTTCATCTGATAGTGGAACCTTGAACTCATCTAAGAGGCCAAATGCATGTGGCTCTACATTCTCAGAGTCATCAGAGGTCAGCATGTACTCCAGGGGTGACCTCGACCACCACTTCTTTATCGACCATCTCGGACTATCGGTCCAGTCTCTCCCATCGATGATCAACGATCGTCGAGGCACTCTTATGGTTGCAACCGCCGACAGCCGTTGCAACCCGAAAGTTTGACATCGATGCGGGGGTTATTGTGGGATTCCGTGCTAACCAAAAACCACTTTTCCCCCGCTGCAGCAACCGAGGGAAGATCTTGGGTTTGCATTAGCTCCTATAGGGGGTTTTATAGCACAGGCTTTGGTTGCTAGGCAAATCATTCTTGGCTCAAGTAAGCTCTTCTTTGCCACTGGTTGAAGATGCTGAGACCTTAATATATATATATATATATATATATATATATATATGGATCAGACTATATGATGGGGTGTTTCCATTTGATCCATTAAAAACTATGGAAGTTTGGTTATGGTGTTTGTAATCTTAAATATGATGAATATGTGGTGTTCATGAATCATGATTGGTTATGGTGTTATGTTTGTCAACATAATAGTGTATTGAAGGATATGATATTTCTATTTTTAATTTGTTTTTCATGTTTTAGTTTATATGTTTAAGTAAAAATTTTAAATAGATTGATTTTTTTTATTTAATCAAACTTTTCGTACAATAATCGAATCATCTGAGCATAGCATAATTAAGTAAGGGGTGGGAGGGGCCGTGCCTTGTACCGAAATATTTGTCTATTGTCACTTAGATATATGTTATTTTAATGATAAAGTACACAAATAGTCTCTAATTATATAAATACTATTTTGTTAAATCTTCTGACTATTTGTAACTTATTTCGTTATAAAAATTTACGAACGTTTGAGCTGGACGTTACAAGATGATTGATCATTTTATAATTTTTAATAGTCCCCAAAACTCATCATTTTGGTTTAAAAAATTAACTAACGTTTGAGCTGGACGTTAACATGTTGACTGATATATGATAGTTATTTGAGATTATGAGATCAGATTTTATCATATCTGAGTCACCGGGTTAAACGTCCAACTCAGATTACTATAATTTTTTTAACAAAAACGACAAATTTAAAACATATGAATACTCAGATGACTACTTTGTAACTTTTAATAGTCGAAAAACTCAACATCTTATAGTTAGGAGACCATTTTGTAAATTTTAATAGTCAAAGGACTCAATAAAACATTATCTTATAATCAAGAGACCATTTGTGCATTTATCAATTTAGGTTTAACCGAATTATCCTCTTTACTCAAAATAATTCTTGGTTCATTTACATGCAATAATAACAAAATGAAATAAACAAATTCTTTTTTCTTTTATACCAAGAATTGTACAATGTAGGCACCATCATTGTGAAATTACAAAAAAAATACTACAAACCAAAGATCTGATCAGTAATGGTGCATCGATGAACTACCTTTTCAAGTATGTTCGAGCACGATAAGGTAATACGGATGCCCTTGGAGGGATCCGGACGACTTGTTCCCTCCTCCTTGGTTTACCTCGTCGTTAACGGGCGTAAGATCCCAATTCAAAACGTAGTTCGACAAGTCGTATATCCCGGGAGCGAAAGCACAAATCTGAAGAGGGATTTCGGAGGTCGACCTAGGTTGAAGTGTGAGTTTAGTAGAGCTCGACCCTGACCAAATGAACTGGGGGACACTTTCGAGGGATAGTGACTTGGAAGATCGTGTTGCAAGGGCTTCGTTTGTGATGATCTTTGTATCGCTGGCAATGGGAATATCCGACCACCCCGTTTGGTTTTCCGGAGGGTGAGATGCAGTGGCATCATCTTTGGGTTGGCTGTTACTACTGGGGGAATCGAAGGTGTTGATATGGACTGATGCGACTGAACCGGAGGAGTTGGTTATAGTCATCTTCAAATTTACTGCACATAGAGGGGCTGAGAAGTTATGTTGAATGGTCCGAGGTCCATCTACTACCCATGATATTGGACTCATGCTAGAAAGACTGCCAGAGAAGAAAACAGGAAATCAAAACAAACATCGGAAATACGATTCATCTACCGATTCATCGTTAAAAGTTGTTGAGGACTTGCAGTTACCAGTCTTACCTGCAATCACAAGCATGATGAGACAAGACAAGTGGCGTATTTCGAGCACCGGAATCAATATTACCCTTCGGCAGTTGAGTGATGAAAATGAAATCAACTTTATATTCATACCCCTGGTCCATGAAAAAAACATAAGCTGAAAGAATCAGCTGGCTAGTGTAAAAGATCCAAAGAACTAACAAATAACCAATCCGATCTATTCATACGAAAAAGGCAACATTGTCGTCATGAGAAATAATATATGCTCGAGAATCGGGAATAAAGTGGTGATATAGATAACGAGACGATCTAACCTTAGTAAAATTCTGAATTTCATGGTAATAAATGGGGTATGATAATCAACATTAGGATAAAAGTTCCGCTCCAATGGATCGGTTATAGGAACGAATAGCATAATGGCAAGAATGTTACCAACCTGAGATGACACTCCCTGGCACGATCTTTCACAATCATGGAAATCTGCCAAAGGTGAACTCGATACATCAAAGGGGGGTTCACTACTATCCCGAGGGCCCAATCTTACATCACTTTGAAAAAGGGAAGGTGGAGTACTATCTTCAGAAGTAGATGACCTCCGATCCTGAAG